TAGCCCTCCAAAGAACACATCTAAAGTTGTGTCAAATACGTCTGAATCTGATTTATGCCATAGACATAATATATGTACTATGCCACAAACTTTCATTCCCGAATCCGATTGAAAGCTTCATACACAAAATAGACAAATCATAGTATGAATGACAAGTCAAAATCTTGTCTGAATAGTATCCTGGTGGTACTATCCTATCGGTACTATTCACTGATGGTTTTGTCCTATTCATTTCTTCAGTTGTATGCCGAATGTAAATCTAAAAGATTATGACATGGTATATATATGCATGTGCTGTTAATTGTTTTCAAGACTTTTTAGATGTTGAACTAGGGGTCTAGCGCACCCAATATGTCCCCAGGAAATGGTTGCTATGAATATATTATTAGCTCTGTGCTCCTTGGTAATACCTTCATTATGGTGATAGCGCATTAGCCATTAGGCCTATGTTTGTGCATATCATTTCATTTTAATTTTTGTATAGAGACTGGCCTTTTCCCATATATTTCTCTCATGTGTGATGTCCTGACCTGGTTGTGTGGCAGCACGACCACATCATGTCCAGTGCATGTGTCAGTGATCAGTTGGTTTAGATGAACCAACAAAGTAAAGAGGGCAAAAAAGTAGGAGGAATATGTCATTTGAACCATTTGTTGGAGTTGCTCCTTTGTTCACCTTTGGTTCCTTTTGCTAGCTATACAAATTGAAATGCAAATTAAATATATTCCCGATAACTAAATTCACTTTGTCACAGCTAAACCATTTTCTTGGCACCATTTTTGTTTCATGTTCCATGTGGTAGCTTCCTAGGGCCTTGCCTTCATGTGTGCTTGTTTTGTACAGGCTGTACTCATAAATTTTACTCCCTCCGTCCCATAATGTAAGACGTTTTTCAACACTACACTAGTGTCAAAAAACGTCTTACATTGTGGGACGGAGGGAGTAGTTGTTAATTTTTCGTTCATTCTTTTCTGTTTGTACCAAAAGAACTTGCTTTTCCCGACATATACAATTCGTCAGTTCTTCAATCTCTGCAAAGAGAGATCAGTCCTTATTTATTTATTTTATATGCATTGCAGGTCCTCGCATACCTCTTGATATCATCATCGTCATCAGCAACCGCGCGAGTAAGTGATTGGATCGACAACTGGGGGAGCGATACTTTCCCGAATATGGCAAACAGCTCCATCATCATATCTTTCCTGGCATTTGTAGTTTTTGCCATCAACTCCCTCATCTCTGCGTACAATCTGTTCCGCCGAGATCTTTAGCTGCGTCTAACTATTATTAACAGTTACATGTTGTCGATTTTTCATTTCTGGACGAAGATTCCAGTGCAGACTTTGTTGTGTTGTAAATGTGTATGATCGAATGACTGCAAGTGTTGAGTTTTAAACTTCCAGTAAAGATATGCATGCGTCCATAGCTGCTGCTGCATGTTTATATGTAATCTACAAATTTCTGAAAATTACAATATTGTAGCACCTGTATTTTGTTCAAGATATGTTGTTTTGGACAAGACACGATCATTAATAAGTACTACCTTCCATGCAAAAAAAAAAAAAGCTGTAGTACTCTCTCGGTCCGGAATTAGTTGTGGCTCAAGTGGATGTATTATATTAGAAAATGGTGGTAAGAATAAAGTACAAACCTGATTCTGTATTATTTAGCATTTGATTGTACATAGGAAGTTTGATCACTCAACTAGCTGAGTATTGCCCTGATCTGTTCCAGCGCCAAGTAAAGTTGTCGTTCTATGAACAGATCTGCTAAGGGCCAACCCTGATCTGAACAAAGCCACTCCTTCCGTAACATAATATAAGACCTTTTTTCACATGGGGTCCTGGATCATAGGTAAACCTTGCCAGGGCATATTAGGATCAGTTCCACGAAGACATTCCCAACGAACTCAAGGAGCTGCCCACCCTGCACTTTACCCTTTTTTTTAGACAATTCTCACCAAGCTTTATTCAGATTCCAGAATGTTTACAGGTAAAAAATGTAGCTCCCCGGATTGCCAAACCCGAGTGTTAAAGCCAAAAGAAGGCTCGCATCCATTTCTTCGAAAGGTTCGGTACCAATTTAGGCCATGTTTGGCACATAGGGAGATTATCCCTCTTGGGCTCAAAAGCCCCAAAAATCACGAAGCCAGCGTTTGTTGAACAGGCCTGAGAATCCCCCGCCCCTCCCCCAATCCATTGGGATCCCAAAAATGAAGGCAAACGAAAAGATAAGAGTAATACTATGATATTGAGTGTTGTTGCCATTCAAAAATGATGATCAAATTTTTAACGAACCGTTGTGATGAATTGGTGCCATGAACTGATATGATGAACTGTTGCGATGAACTAATGTCATGAGATATTCTTGTTTTGTTTGATTCAAAGTCATATGAAATGATGGTGGTGTTGCTGTGATGAATTGTTGTTGCTGCTGCTGTGATGAATTGTTTTTATTGTGATGAATAGTTGTTGCTGTCGTAAAAAAAAAGGATTTTTATCGTGCTAGGCACTCAAAGACTCCCCCGGCCAAACAATAATTTTATGTGCAAGGGAACGTGAGGGATTCAAAGGGATCGGTGAAGGTGAGGAATCCACCAAATCCCCAGCCCCTTTTGGGGCTTGAAAACCCCACGTGCCAAACAAGGCCTTAGTGGGCACTGATGAACGGGCTTGGCAACCATAGCTGGGTTCACCAGAACCAATCTTCCCGCCCCAAGTCAAAAGAAAAAGGAAATCTTCCTGCTCTGGCAATTAGAACCCATTACCAAGCACGGGCAGTGGCCATCACCTTGTCTAGCGTCAGCTGCCATTCAGATTTAGTAGAGAGTTTGAGAGCAAGCTGCAATCCAAGGTACTTGCAGAGGAAGGAGCCAACCGGGCAATGAAGTAGTATATCCAAAACTCTTGCTTCGTCCGACGAGGACTTTAGTTGACACGGAGCCCTGGTGCTTCGCCAAATATATTCTGGCCATGTTTGTTTTCGCTCAGGTAGTGTGCCTGATTTTTGGTATCGGGTAGCTCCGCTTCCACTTAGTTTGCTGGGATACAAGGGCGTTGATCTTTTATAGGCCGCAGTAGGCGCCATTAAGGGGGGAGTTGGGAGGCGGCGGGCGGTCGTTAAGGGGAGCGTTTCCCGATGAGAAATGTTGTCGCGCCATTCACATGACATCGAAAAGTGAGGAGATGATGCCGCACGACGGCCATCCGAATGGTCACCGCTGGAATCCGAGGGAGCAGGCGTGCCATTTAATCTAAGGGACGGTTATTCTCTATGCCGACAACCACGCTATTTCAAATCCCGGTTGTGGTGTGAGGAGGAAGAAGATGAAACTTCACTGACGCCACCACAGACAACAACCCACCAGGCTCTCACTATAACGCTCTCAATTGTCGAACAGAGTGCCCCCCCTCCCCCCTCCCGGACATCACTGGCACAAGATCTAGGCCTCACCCAAACCCGCCACGTTCATCGCACCTCTGACCTCCACCAACCTTGCCCGCGCGGGCATCACAGACGCAAAGCCACCGTTCTCTAGGGCCGCCGACCAACGCCCAAGCAGGCACCACCCATAGCAGAACATATCTGGGCAGGGGAAGCCCTGATTTGCCGCTATTGGTCGCCACAGCAGGCCACCACCGAGAGCCCCTACGGCCGCCGCCTCAGCACGGCCGAGATTTTTTTTACTAGGGATCCAATAAAATAATTCAATATTGTTTATGTTGGTATAAATCTTTTATGAGGGTTTTCCTCATCTTTTTTTGGCTACTCAGTTTTGCCCCTGCTCCGTCAACTCGTGCGTGTGTTTCTGTGAACCAACGGCGGGTGAATGCAACGAGTAGTACAGTTTGTGCCGCAACGCCGACTGTGATGCACTGATGCACATACAGAGTTCCAAATCGAATCCCGTCTCGATCCAAAATCCAATCCCACATCCGCCCCCCTTCCTGCCACCACGGGTTTGCGCCTGTGGTTCGCCGTCGCCGACGCGTTCACCGCCGCTGCAGGGAGTTCTCCATTAGCACTGTCCAGTCTCGTCTCCGTCCGCTGAGCCCCAGCCCGGACGGCGGCAATGTCGCGCCTCCACCCCCGCTACTTCTCCAGCTCCATCCCCTCACTCGCCGACGAGCTGCTGAGCGAACTCCACCATCATCTGGGCTCTGGGACGCTCAGTCCGCAGCTCGCACACCAACTGTTCGACGAAATGCTGCGCCAACCCGTCCCAGTATCATCGCGTGCGCTCAATGGCTTATTTGCTGCCCTCGCGCGTACGCCGCCCTCCACCACCTGCACAGATAGCCCTGCCCTCGCCATCAATCTCTTCAACCGCATGGCCCGAGCAGGTCGCGGCAGGGTGATAGCACCCAGCAGTCACACCTACAGCATACTAATTGAATGCTGCTGCCTCGCGCGCCGTCCGGACCTTGGGCCTTCCTTCTTCGCTCACCTCCTCAAGACAGGCGTCACGGTAGACGTCGTCACCTTCAGTGGCTTATTCAAGTGCCTCTGTGACATGAAGCGCACGGAGGAGGTTCTGGATGTGCTGCTTCATAGGTGCCTCACAACCTGCCTAATGTCATCTCCTACTCAGTAGTTGTGAAGAGCTTCTGCGACAATGGTAGGAGCCAGCTTGCGCTTGACCTGCTCCGTATAATGGCCAAAAAAGGTGCTGACCACTCCCCCAACGTGGTGTCATACAACACGGTAATCAATGGCTTCTTTAAGGAGGGCGAAGTAAGCAAAGCATGCAATCTATTCCACGAAATGATACAACAGGGGGTTGTGCCTAATGAGGTGACATATAGCTCCATTATCAATGCACTATGCAAAGCAAGAGCAATGGATAAGGCAGAGGTGATCCTTCGACATATGGTTCATAGTGGTGTCCAACCACATGATAGGATATATAATATCCTGATCCATGGATTTTTAACTTCGGGTCAGCTGAAAGAAGCCTTTAGGCTGTTGAAACTGATGACAAGCCAAGGTGTTATGCCAAACCTTGTTACCTGCAACTCAGTCATGACCTACCATTGCAAGAATGGAAGAGTAAAAGAAGCTGCGGAAATATTTTATTCCATGGCTGTGAAGGGCCGAAAACCTAATGTCATCTCATACTCTATTATGCTTCATGGGTACGCGACAGAAGGATCCCTTGTTGAAATGATTGATCTCTGTGAGCTGATGGCAAGAGATGGAGTTGTACCCGACCGCTCTGTTTTCAACATACTGATTAAGGCATATGCTAAACATGGAATGATCGATGTGGCTATGCTTTTCTTTGATGAAATGTTGAAGCAGGGGGTGAACCCTAATGATATCACATATTTAACTCTGATATCTGCATTTTGCAAGATGGGCAGAATGGATGATGCCATGATCAAATTCAATGAGATGATTGATATGGGAATACCACATGATACAACTGTTTACATGTGCATGATTGAGGGTTATTTGAATCATGGTGATTCCGTGAAAGCCAAGGAATTTATTACTAAAATGAAGAGCAGGGATGTTTGTCATAGCCCGCGGAAGGGTAATTGATGAACACAACATCTTTGACTTGGTTACCCGTGCTGGTGAGAGTTCTGATCCTATTACATTCACTTCAATGGTATGTGGGTATTGCTTATCGCCAAGATGGAGAAAGCGTTTAGAGTACTTGATATCAGTTGGCGTGGCCTAGTGTTATGCTCTCATCATCTTGATATTCTCTACATGTGTTGTCAATCTGATTGTTCCAAACTTGCGCTAGAATTTGACAAGTGTGAAATAAGTCAAATAACCCTTAAAGTTGCTAGTTGCTGTTTATTGGTAGTTAGGCCTTATTCGTTTAAACCCCTCTTGGAGAGGATTGAAGAGGTTTGGAGGGGATTGAGGGGTATTTTGACTTGTAGAGGATTAAATCCTGCCCAATCCGCTCTAATCCCCTTCGAAACCCTTCCAACCGGACAGGCCCTTATGGTGGATTCTGACCTGGCTGGTTAGTGCTCTTTAAACATCATACATGATAGACAACGGAAGAGTTAGCCATTGATAAGTTGCAATTGAGAGTTATTGCTATCTTTCAGGGAGAAAGAGAATAATTTCATTTTTCCGAGATAAATTATTGTGTGCTGAACTCGAAACACTACAATTGGTCATTGATCATATAGCTTTAGTATTGAGCCTAAAAAATTCTATGAAGATATTATTAGATGTGTGCTTCCTGGTAGCACCTTCATCATGATGCTACTGTATTAGTCATTAGGCTTATGCTTGTAGTTATCATGTCGGTTTAAGTTACGGATATTTCCCTCATGTGTTTCACTCTTGGTGTGAGATACCCAGATCTGGTTGTGATTGGTAAGCAAATCATAGATTGGCACTTGTACCAACAAACTAAAGCCGAGGACATGAAGCAGGAAAAATACGTCATTTGACCAATGCATTGGACTTACTTCGCTTTGTTCTTCTTTTCTTCTTCCTTCTGCCAGCTCTAAAATCCGAGATGAATATATTACTTAAAATGAATTACATTGTTTCAATGTCCAACCATTTTGTTCGGCACTGATTTTTTTTTTCACATTATCTAAATTGCTTTCTGGAGCTTTTATGTGTGCGCCAAAATGTTATTTGTTATCTTTGTGTTCATTCTGTTCTGTTTTGCATGGGACAACATGCTTTCCCCACATGTTATAACTGATTAGTTCTTGAATCTCTGCAAGGAGAGACCAATGCTGAATTGTTTATTTGATTTGTATTGCAGGTGCTCAAGTAACGCACCGGAGCAAACAATTGGGGGAGTAATCATGGTTTTTGCCATCAATTTCCATGGATTTCAGCTGCTCGAGTAACGGACTGGATCAAAAATGGTGAACATCTCCATGCCCAAATCTTTCCTGGCATTCATGGTTTTTGCCATCAATTCCCTCATCTTCGTGTACAATCTGCCAAGACCTTTAGAAGAATGTGCAGATAACCTGTTGTTAAGTTTTCATTTCTGGAGAAAGGGTTTGGTGCAGACCTTGTTATGTTGTGCTTATATAGTACTCCTATGATCGATTGACAATAACTGATGAGTTGCAGATCCAGTAATGCTGTGTCCCTATGTGAACTGAATGTGTCCATAGCTGCTGCTGCTGCTGCATGTTAAGTACCCCTATTTGTTCACTTCAGCTGATCATCTATGCTAGTTATAACTCTCTCCCTGTTTCTTCAGTTGATCACTGATGCTTCTCGCAACCAACTCTGCACGGTCATCATATAGTGGCATAAATCTCTCCATGGTGGATTGATAGTAAAGAATTCTTCAATCTCCTCTGACTGCTTCTGTTGCAATAAGGCATTGGTCTGATGGCGCAGTTGCACAAACTTGGCATTGCAAATTAGGGTGTTAAATTATGTAGTTCTGGATACAAGGGAGTACAAGTTGCCAATCTGAATTGAACATATAAACCGTGCTATGCTACCCGCCGTTCTGGGCCATCTGCGTCCGCCGGTCCATGTGGTGCGCTCGATCTACCAGCGCATGTACTTTTTACAGCTCTGTCAAAGGCTCAACCGTCCATCGTTCTTTACATCTTATTTTTGCTTGTATGTGGCTGATGGGTGGGCCTCGTTTGCCCGAGGACCCAGCATTGCGGTGCGTTTTGCCGGCGTTCTGCATGAGAGAGGAGGGGTCGCATCCAAGGCCCGGTAAAAACCCAGCTTACACACCCTCCCTCCTCCTCGACCTCCCTCCCTCCGTCCTAGCCGCCGCCTCTCCTCCTTCTCCCCATGCTAGCCCCTCCACCTGCCATCCGCAGCGCCACCGGGCGGTCGGGTCGTCGGGGTGAGCAGTGGCG